CCTGGTTTTAGCCCGGTTGTTAGCCTGGTTGTTAGCCTGGTTTTAGTCTGGTTGTTAGCCCGGTTGTTAGCCTGGTTATTAGCCTGGTTTTAGTCTGGTTGTTAGCCCGGTTGTTAGCCTGGTTATTACCCTGGTTTTAGTCTGGTTGTTAGCCCGGTTGTTAGCCCGGTTGTTACATGGTTTCACCCTGGTTTTAACCTGGTTGTTAGCCTGGTTTTAGTCTGGTTGTTAGCCCGGTTGTTACATGGTTTCACCCTGGTTTTAACCTGGTTGTTAGCCTGGTTTTAGTCTGGTTGTTAGCCCGGTTGTTAGCCTGGTTATTACCCTGGTTTTAGTCTGGTTGTTAGCCCGGTTGTTAGCCCGGTTGTTAGCCCGGTTGTTACATGGTTTCACCCTGGTTTTAACCTGGTTGTTAGCCTGGTTTTAGTCTGGTTGTTAGCCCGGTTGTTACATGGTTTCACCCTGGTTTTAACCTGGTTGTTAGCCTGGTTTTAGTCTGGTTGTTAGCCCAGTTGTTACATGGTTTTACCCTGGTTTTAGCCTGGTTGTTAGCCCGGTTGTTAGCCTGGTTATTAGCCTGGTCTTAGTCTGGTTGTTAGCCTGGTTGTTGGCCCGGTTGTTACATGGTTTCACCCTGGTTTTAACCTGGTTGTTAGCCTGGTTTTACCCTGGTTTTAGCCCGGTTGTTAGCCTGGTTATTAGCCTGGTTTTAGTCTGGTTGTTAGCCCGGTTGTTAGCCAGGTTATTAGCCTGGTCTTAGTCTGGTTGTTAGCCCGGTTGTTGGCCCAGTTGTTACATGGTTTCACCCTGGTTTTAACCTGGTTGTTAGCCTGGTTTTAGTCTGGTTGTTAGCCCAGTTGTTACATGGTTTTACCCTGGTTTTAGTCTGGTTGTTAGCCCGGTTGTTAGCCTGGTTATTAGCCTGGTCTAAGTCTGGTTGTTAGCCTGGTTGTTGGCCCGGTTGTTACATGGTTTCACCCTGGTTTTAACCTGGTTGTTAGCCTGGTTTTACCCTGGTTTTAGCCCGGTTGTTAGCCTGGTTGTTAGCCTGGTTTTAGTCTGGTTGTTAGCCCGGTTGTTAGCCTGGTTATTAGCCTGGTTTTAGTCTGGTTGTTAGCCCGGTTGTTAGCCTGGTTATTACCCTGGTTTTAGTCTGGTTTTAACCTGGTTGTTAGCCTGGTTTTACCCTGGTTTTAACCTGGTTGTTAGCCTGGTTTTAGTCTGGTTGTTAGCCCGGTTGTTACATGGTTTCACCCTGGTTTTAACCTGGTTGTTAGCCTGGTTTTAGTCTGGTTGTTAGCCCAGTTGTTACATGGTTTTACCCTGGTTTTAGTCTGGTTGTTAGCCCGGTTGTTAGCCTGGTTATTAGCCTGGTCTTAGTCTGGTTGTTAGCCTGGTTGTTGGCCCGGTTGTTACATGGTTTCATCCTGGTTTTAACCTAGTTGTTAGCCTGGTTTTACCCTGGTTTTAGCCCGGTTGTTAGCCTGGTTATTAGCCTGGTTTTAGTCTGGTTGTTAGCCCGGTTATTAGCCCGGTTGTTACATGGTTTCACCCTGGTTTTAACCTGGTTGTTAGCCTGGTTTTACCCTGGTTTTAGCCCGGTTGTTAGCCTGGTTTTAGTCTGGTTTTAGTCTGGTTGTTAGCTCGGTTGTTAGCTCGGTTGTTAGCCTGGTTATTAGCCTGGTTTTAGTCTGGTTGTTAGCCCGGTTGTTAGCCTGGTTATTACCCTGGTTTTAGTCTGGTTGTTAGCCCGGTTTTTAGCCCGGTTGTTAGCCCGGTTGTTACATGGTTTCACCCTGGTTTTAACCTGGTTGTTAGCCTGGTTTTAGTCTGGTTGTTAGCCCGGTTGTTACATGGTTTCACCCTGGTTTTAACCTGGTTGTTAGCCTGGTTTTAGTCTGGTTGTTAGCCCAGTTGTTACATGGTTTTACCCTGGTTTTAGTCTGGTTGTTATCCCGGTTGTTAGCCTGGTTATTAGCCTGGTCTCAGTCTGGTTGTTAGCCTGGTTGTTGGCCCGGTTGTTACATGGTTTCATCCTGGTTTTAACCTGGTTGTTAGCCTGGTTTTAGCCCGGTTATTAGCCCGGTTATTAGCCTGGTTTTAGTCTGGTTGTTAGCCCGGTTGTTAGCCCGGTTGTTACATGGTTTCACCCTGGTTTTAACCTGGTTGTTAGCCTGGTTTAAGTCTGGTTGTTAGCCCGGTTGTTACATGGTTTCACCCTGGTTTTAACCTGGTTGTTAGCCTGGTTTTAGTCTGGTTGTTAGCCCGGTTGTTACATGGTTTCACCCTGGTTTTAACCTGGTTATTACCCTGGTTTTAGTCTGGTTGTTAGCCCGGTTGTTAGCCCGGTTGTTACATGGTTTCACCCTGGTTTTAGTCTGGTTGTTAGCCCGGTTGTTAGCCTGGTTATTAGCCTGGTTTTAGTCTGGTTGTTAGCCCGGTTGTTAGCCCGGTTGTTACATGGTTTTACCCTGGTTGTTAGCCTGGTTTTACCCTGGTTGTTAGCCCGGTTGTTGGCCTGGTTTTACCCTGGTTTTAACCTGGTTGTTAGCCTGGTTTTACCCTGGTTTTAGCCCGGTTGTTAGCCTGGTTTTACTCTGGTTGTTAGCCCGGTTGTTAGCCTGGTTTTACCCTGGTTTTAGTCTGGTTGTTAGCTTGGTTGTTAGCTCGGTTGTTAGCCTGGTTATTAGCCTGGTTTTAGTCTGGTTGTTAGCCCGGTTGTTAGCCTGGTTATTACCCTGGTTTTAGTCTGGTTGTTAGTCTGGTTGTTAGCCCGGTTGTTAGCCCGGTTGTTAGCCCGGTTGTTACATGGTTTCACCCTGGTTTTAACCTGGTTGTTAGCCTGGTTTTACCCTGGTTTTAGCCCGGTTGTTAGCCTGGTTTTACCCTGGTTTTAGTCTGGTTGTTAGCTTGGTTGTTAGCCTGGTTATTACCCTGGTTTTAGTCTGGTTGTTAGCCTGGTTGTTAGCCCGGTTGTTAGCCCGGTTGTTAGCCCGGTTGTTACATGGTTTCACCCTGGTTTTAACCTGGTTGTTAGCCTGGTTTTACCCTGGTTTTAGCCCGGTTGTTAGCCTGGTTTTAGTCTGGTTTTAGTCTGGTTGTTAGCTCGGTTGTTAGCTCGGTTGTTAGCCTGGTTATTAGCCTGGTTTTAGTCTGGTTGTTAGCCCGGTTGTTAGCCTGGTTATTACCCTGGTTTTAGTCTGGTTGTTAGCCCGGTTTTTAGCCCGGTTGTTAGCCCGGTTGTTACATGGTTTCACCCTGGTTTTAACCTGGTTGTTAGCCCGGTTGTTACATGGTTTCACCCTGGTTTTAACCTGGTTGTTAGCCTGGTTTTAGTCTGGTTGTTAGCCCGGTTGTTACATGGTTTCACCCTGGTTTTAACCTGGTTGTTAGCCTGGTTTTCGTCTGGTTGTTAGCCCAGTTGTTACATGGTTTTACCCTGGTTTTAGTCTGGTTGTTATCCCGGTTGTTAGCCTGGTTATTAGCCTGGTCTTAGTCTGGTTGTTAGCCTGGTTGTTGGCCCGGTTGTTACATGGTTTCATCCTGGTTTTAACCTGGTTGTTAGCCTGGTTTTAGTCTGGTTGTTAGCCCGGTTATTAGCCTGGTTATTAGCCTGGTTTTAGTCTGGTTGTTAGCCCGGTTGTTAGCCTGGTTATTACCCTGGTTTTAGTCTGGTTGTTAGCCCGGTTGTTAGCCCGGTTGTTAGCCCGGTTGTTAGCCCGGTTGTTACATGGTTTCACCCTGGTTTTAACCTGGTTGTTAGCCTGGTTTTACCCTGGTTTTAGCCCGGTTGTTGGCCTGGTTTTACTCTGGTTGTTAGCCCGGTTGTTAGCCTGGTTTTAGCCCGGTTGTTAGCAGGTGTCGATTCATTCAGACATTTAAAACAAACAGATGTTAAAATGTGCCGGTAGAGGCCAGAACAGCTGTGATGTGTTCAGATCTGTTTATTGTTTTTATTTTATTGTATTTGTTGAATGAACTGTATGAAATGAGTTGCTGACAGATTGCTCTGAACACAAACAGGATCTCTGACTGTATGAAAGATCGATCACACACAGGAAGGTTGTTGTTTAGCTCTCGCTGGACCTGTTTGTTCATCATCAAACTTCAGTCAGTAATATTTTATGATGACTTTCACTTCTTGTTCTGTCCTTTGAACTGTTGTTCTCAGCTGTTGTTAACATATAACAGCCAGTTCCCCCTCAGGGATCAGTAAAGTACCATCTCTCTTCTAATCTGCCCAAACAGACCAAATCATTTTACTGTGGAAACAGAACCAGTCTGACCAGTAACCAGTGAGAGAGCAGATGATTTGGTTTGTGGAAAAACAGTCAGAGTGAGATGTCTTTGTTTCCACAGTTTAGTTTGGGGGGAAGCACAGAGATCGTTTCTGCAGACAGTGTCTCCCTCTGCTGGTCAGAAGAGGCGATAGATAGATGATAGATGATAGATTATAGATAGATATATAAATAGATAGATGATAGATTATAGATTTTAGATAGATGATAGATAGATAATGAAAAATGACATCTTGTATTATTTGGTAAGATTTAAAGAGGACAGTTTGACTCAGACTGACCTGCTGGATCAACAACAGAACTCGGATTTCTTTAATTATGATTAGTATTTACTTCATTTTATGTTAATTTTCCTTATGTCTTAATATAATTCTAGATATTGTAATTATTATGTTCATTGGTAACTCACACATACGCATGTGTATTTCTATTGAAAACTTTGGCTGGTGTTTAAAACTAATTTGTTTTTTAATCAAAGTTATTTACTTTCATGTAAAGCATGTTTGAGTATTTAGGTATATAAATATAATTATTATTTAAAAATGTTTATTTTGTTACATTTTCTTTACTTTTATATTATATTTAGATATGTGTAATAATATAAATCTGTCAGTGTGTTTTGGCAAAATGTTCATGCCAATAAAGCTCTTTCAGTTTATGACGTAATGAGCCGTCACATCTGGACCCCGCCCATCTGTTTCGATCTATCCAATCACGTGCCGGTATCGGGATGAGCTGGCGTTAAACGGCGGAAGTGTTTGCGACGAGTTTACAAACAGGAAGCTAAGCTAACAGGCTAACTGCGCTGACGGAGCGGAGGAACAGCTGAGCGGCAGCGCGAGGACCGAGTGTGAGGTGAGTGTGACTAACACCCGGGGACACAGCTCCTCAACTTTCACTAGTTCCTTAGCTAACGTTAACTCAGCGTTTGGCGCGAAGTGATCCTCGTGCTGTTTATCGCGAGCGGCGGCAGGTAAACAGTTAAAACGGTGAGAAAGTCCCGATGCGGAGACTCAGCTGATGAAAAACAACAACAGAAAACTCGAGGAAACACCAGCAAGTACACGGAGCCCGCGAGCTATGCTGGCTAACCTGCCTCAGCGAAGACACGGTTAGCTGTTAGCTGTTAGCTTCCCGTCAGACTCCAGCTAACAGACGGGATCAGGGTCGATCTGCTAGAAACTTCATCGACCGATTTCAGCAACTAACAACATTTAAACACGAGGCTGATCGATAGTCTTGATCAGGTCATAGACTGGCTGGATGCCTCACGTGCAGCTGCTAGCTGTTAACCTGCCAGGTGAGTCTGGCGGGTTATTTATTTATTTGCCGCACAGAAACAGAAGCTACAGAAGTTTTAATGAAAGCAAACCGATGTTAGCCGCAGTGTTGCAGCATCGCGTGACACAGCTGCCCTGAGCTGCCACGCCCCTCTGCGCTGACCCCGGGGCAGCTAGCAGCTAGCCGGGGCAGCTAGCAGCTAGCTAGCCTCAGTGGGTTAAAGTTAAATAAACATCAGTCAGCTGTGATGTAAGTTCCCCTTTCAGAGGTCCAGCTGTCACAGAGGACTCTCCTACATAAAGTAATCATGTAAGATCGACTTTATTGATCCCAAGCTGGGGAAATTCAACAGCTATCGTTTTATTTGTCTATGACAGAAAAGCAGAAAGTACACAGTAGAGTGTGCAATCAGTCACAACCAGTAAAGAATAAAAACTAATGAAAAGGCCAGTTTCTAAAGTCTTTAAGGATCCGACGTCCACAAACTTAGTTTTGTGTTAATGGCCAGAATATTAGAAAGACTTCAAACATCAGTCACTGAAGAGATTAACAGATCAATAATCAGTCTGGTTTCAGATCCTGCTGCTTTTCTGAACTTTGGTTTGGAGCAAAAACAAAATGTTTTTCACTAATTTTTTTTGATCACTTGATGGAGAAAATAAATAGCAGAGGAGCTGCTGGTGAAAAGAATTACTGCGGTTGTGTTGGACTGATGAGAAGTCAGTTCAGCTATAATCTGCTGTTCCAGAAGCTTCCAGACAAAAACTCTCTGCTCTGATGTCTTAATTTAATGTCCTCTGTCCGTCCCGTGCTCACAGTTCAGCTTCTTCTCAAACCAACAGACGACTTTTAGAGCAAAGCATTTTCAGGCTTTTCATTTTATTGGTTTACTCCTTTTTTCTTTCTGCACATTTCAGAACCAGCTTTGCAGCCGAGTCGATTTAACGCACGATCAGCTTTTCCTTGTGACTGAACGCAGAACAAACGACCCGGCTTCTGCTGCCTCTAAGGTTTGACTTCATTACATCAATAAATCAAACGCTCTGACACACAAGAATGTGGCGGTTGGCTGGTCTACCTGCCCGACAGGCTCTGTTGTTCCTGTCACCCGGTCTCAGGTGTGTTCTTGTGTCCCCTGTTCAGGAGTCAGGATGAGTCTGCAGTGGACGGCGGTGGCCACCTTCCTGTACGCAGAGGTCTTCTTCGTCCTGCTGCTCTGCATCCCCTTCATCTCACCTAAGAGGTCAGTGCACCCCCCCCCACCCCCCCACCCCCAGCGCGCCCTGTCCCCCCCAGCGTGCCCCTGCCCCCCCAGCGTGCCCCTGCCCCCCCAGCGCGCCCTGTCCCCCCCAGCGTGCCCCTGCCCCCCCAGCGTGCCCCTGCCCCCCAGCGCGCCCTGTCCCCCCCAGCGCGCCCTGTCCCCCCCAGCGTGCCCCTGCCCCCCCCCCAGCGCGCCCCTGCCCCCCCAGTGTGCCCCTGCCCCCCCAGCGCGCCCCTGCCCCCCCAGCGCGCCCCTGTCTAATGAGGATCACTGAAGGAGAAACCAAAGCCAACTTCACTCTTTCAGCGTTTTCGTCAGCAGCTCCTGAAGCTCCGGGTGAGCCTGCAGCAGGTGACGCCGGCATTAGATGAGGCCCTCAGAAACCAGTGAGGGCGGAGTGGTAGTGGGTATTAAACCCTCCGACGCCCTTTGCTGCACGATGGCGGAGCTTTCTTTCAGTGTGAGATCCGTGTGACGTCGCAGGTTAACATGTCGGATTTTTACTGTTTAAAGTTTACTGTTTTTATTGAATCGTTTTCATCTTATACGAAAATCTTCAGCCAAAACTAAAGAGCCTTCAGTAAACAGCAGGATAATAGAAGAACGAGCAACACAGGAAGTAAAGTCTTTACACCTTTTAACTGGTTTAAATTCTTCACA